GAATTTCAACGGATTAAATTTTCTAACGAAATTTTTGATGGACTTTTCTGTCGAAATTTTTTTGACAGATTTCTTGTGGCATATCCGGCAATTTTTCCGTCAAATTTCTGGTAGTGTTTTTCTATTTTTTATATTTTACATTATTTTATGGTTATTGTAAATTTTATTTTTTATTTTTTAATTATTTATATTTTATATGTAATAATAACTTATTTTTTGACGGTATTTTTGATGAGTTTCCGACAACACCTCTAGTAACCTTTCTAGTAACGCCTCTAGCTACCTTTCTCGTAGTATTTTTAATTTTTTATTTAACATTTTATATTTATATTTTTCAATTTTTCGACAACACTTCTGGTAACGTTTCTGGAAACCTCTCTGTACCTCTGTTTTTATGAAAAGAAAAACAAGATAAGATCTTTAAAACAAAACCAAACGAAGATTCTATTATTACATGATACGTATTACTTGAAAGTAGGATTGTTGCAAGAATTAAGACTCCAAGAGCGCCAATGAGAACAATCTTTCCTTCAAACGATGAGGGAGCTCAAGAAGATCTGTCAGAGCCTACCTTGGTCATCCTAGCAAGTCATGGTGTTACTAGTGGCAATCTCTTTTGGACAGAGTAAAATAGTATGGGAGAGAGAGAAAGAGAGAGAGAGAGAGAGTGAGCAAAAGAGAGAGATAGAGAGATAGCGAGGCAGACAAAAGAGTAGCCATTAGCTTTTAAAGAAATTTTTTTGACAACTTTCGATTGAAAGCCGTCAAAAAAAAGTTATGAATCCCAAAAGTCAGCAAAGGTTGAATTTTTGACAGATTTTTTGAATTTTCGACGGAAATTTTTGTTGGGAAAGATATACAAATCTCAAAAAGTCTGCAAAATTGCCATGTGTGCAAAATTTTCAATGGGATTTTTGACAGAAAATTTCTTTAAAAAAGAGTTACAAATCCTAACAAGTCTACAAATTTGTCAAAATGTGTAGAAATTTTATAGCGGAAAGTTCCATCAGAAATTTTGTAAAAAATTTCTAATGAAAAATTTTTGTCATAAATTCCATAGGAAATGTCATTAGAAATTTTTTGACAAAAAATTCCATTGGAAATTCCAGCACAAACTTTCCAACAAAAAATTCTATTAGAAATTCTGCGGGAAATGTCATCAAATTTTTCCAAAAATCCATCGAAAATTCCTGATAGAAATTTTTCGTCGAAAATTCTGTCAGAAATTTTGTTAGAAAAATTTGGACAAAAATTCTAATGGAATTTTCGACTGAATTTTCTATTGAAAAATTTCTGTCAAAAAATATTTATTTATTTATTTGATTTTTTTTGACCGATTTTTTGCATTTCTAACAGAATTTTTTGCCGAAAAGTTTTTCGATGGAATAGTTTGTCAGAAATTCTATTGGAAATTTTTTCGACGGTTGTTTTCATTGAAAATTAGGTTAGAAAATTTTTTGACAAATATTTTCATCGAAATTTTGACGATTTTATGTCCGTCAGTAATTTTTCGTTAAAAATTTGACATTTTCTTGTAGTGACTTCATCTTCCTTAGCTCCTAGTGCAATTGCAATTTTTCTTACATGCTTCCAGAAAGAAACAAATTAGCACAATCCATGATTAAGTTGGCCAAGCATAAGTATGAGAAATTGGTGATGCTAGAGGAACCCCAGATGATCCACACATTAAGAGCACCTTACTTGCAGAAATGAAAATAAAATCCACTGCCCAATGTTTTGTTTTAGTGTGTATTTTGACCTGTGTGTTGTTCTTGTGGTACCCAACTGGGGCAACTTGTACCCTTAGATTTTTGTTTGTTTGAATCAATCTTGTTATTCACTATGGTTAACTCATGCAGTCCCCAGCTATAAAAGGACTTTTCTTTATGAACACAAATAAAGCTTTTCTCTGTGTTAAATATTCAATAGTCAATTGAGTAATACAGTTCCACACTTCCTTTTATTTTTAGGTCCCTCTTTAGTTTAAGTGAGTGTGAAACGTTCAAAGAAAATAAAATATTAAGTTACTGTGCTTTAATAATTTACAAATCTAAATTATTAACAAACAAAAATTTTATTAGGTAGTCTTCTCAAGAAGGATTGACAAAAAGCAAAAGAACATTAATTTCAAGATTGGGATTAAATGACTTTAATTTTATTATTTTAAGTTCCTATTTACATGATGGTAAGCCGGATTAATATAGATTTGCGTAAGCATAACTAAATGAATGTAACACAAACAATTGACAACTAATTTAGCTGCTCTAGCTTTCTTTAATTTGGAATGTAGGCTTCAAGAAAAGGAGTAGTATCAAGAGAGTAGAAAACATCGAATCTGAACTAGAAAATGCATTCAAAGAGTCGAGAATTTTAATATTAGCTACTCCAAAGGTTATGCATCTTTTCAGCAGATAAATTGGTGATATCCTCCAACGCAGGATTCTGTTTATAATCAAGACCACGTGATTTCTGCTTGGAGAGATTAATTAGTCTTGAAATGTCCCATAGTAGTTTGACAGATTTAATACAGTTTTCTTTTCAAAATGTAACATTTTTTTGAGCTGAAAAGTCAGTTATGAAAAAAATAGACTTTCAAACACAAGTTGATTCAACTAGATCAACTTCCAAAGCAAAGAAGATAAAGACGAAGAGGATCGTAGAATACTAGGGGGAGTAAGTGCCAGGGGCAGAAGTTGAAGACGAAGAAGATTGCAAAAGATAGAAGATGAAGTGCCAAGTGTTGGCGATAGAAGACAAAGATCACCAACAGGAGTGAAACTTGTAGTGGAGCAAAGTTGATAGACTAGACCTAACGGGGCACGGAGTCAACGCCGGTGGAAGAAGATAAAGACAAAAAAGAATGCAAAAGACTGAAGACAAAGCACCAAACAGAGAAAATGCTCTCCTCTGTTAGCTCTGTTCCATTGTGCCCGCCTTCAAAGATAGAGGAAGACAAAGGCTGCAGATCTTTTTGCCTTTTGTTGCTGGAACCCTTTCTTTCGTTGCTCTTCATCTTCATTTTCTTCCACTAAAATAGACTCCTCTCTTGCTGCTATGCGATCTTCTTTGTGATCATCTTCTTCCCCTTAAAAGTTAATTCAAGTAGACTTAACTTTTGGTTTAGTTCAGTTTAGTTTAGTTTAATATTCAAATTCAAATTAAATCATATTTTACAGTTTGTAATTTTTATAAACTAAACCGAACCATAGTTTATAGTTTAGTTTAATTTCAAATCACGATTTGTAATTTACAAAATAAAATAGATTAAATTCACTATTTTTATAAAAATTTTAATAAAGTTTTCCTAAAAATTGGCCATCTATTTTTTTCCCAGTATATTTAACTTAATAAATTCATTATTTATTAATTAACTATAGTAGTTATACATTTTATAATAAATATATTTATACCATTTTATAAATTTTCATTATTACTAAAAAAAATTATACTCTAAAAAAAATCAATTATTAGAATAAATATAAATATAAAAGATAAAAAAAAGAAAAAATATTTAGTTAAACAATAAAAATATACTATATACACAAAGATAAGACTTTTAGTTTTATATATATATATATATATAAATTATACGGTTTGATTTGATTTATTTGATTTGTCTAGATATCAAATATTAAATCAAATCACACTATATAGTTTGGTTCAATTTTATATAATTTGATTTGGTTTATACAGTCTAATTGATTTGGTTTGATTTGTTGAATAAACACCCCTAGCTTTGACCAAAGTAGTTTCTATTCAGTAATTAGTTCGGTCATAATTGACTTTGTATAAAAATTAATTTTGACACGAGCATTTTCGAAAGAATAACCAGCTTCAAAAAGCAAATCAATTATTTTACAAACATTTTTTTAACTCAAAAAAATAAAATTTACATTTTGTTAAATAATTTAAAAAATATTTTTAATATATAAAAAATAAAAATAAAAATAAAAATAGAAATATCAATATAAAAAAGCCTAGTTTGAAAAGTGCCTGAATAGAACCAAGGAATAGGGGTATTTCAGTAAAATCCTACTTTCTATAATAAATTTCTTTAAATTCGCTTTTCTTATAATTACCATCAAACAAATTATATATACTAAAATATTAAAATTTGCAAAAATCAAAGCAAATGCAAGATGTACAACTTTTCCACTGATTAAACATCCATCAAGGCATAAATCTTGGTTGAAATTTAAAAAAAAAAAAGAAAAGAAAAGAAAAAGAAAAATTCAAGCCAAATAAGTCTTCGTGGGAGGGACCAACGTGAACATTTTTCCAAACTTTGCTTTGTTAATTTCTTCTTGTCAACCATTTTTGCTCCCTCCCTCCAACCCAAAAAATAAAAAAAAGAAGAGGAAGAACCACTTTTGCCCCCAAACTTTGATCACATGTTAATCAAGCCTGGGAAATTATGGGTAAAAGAAGGAAAACGAGTTTGAAGTATATATAGACTGTTCCTGCCTGATCTAAAAGTTTTAGCTTTTGATTTTAAAACTGTTTTCCTTGAAAGGTCTGTCCGAATCTCCACTTCGCCGGAGCAACGTTGTAGGAGGTGATGGTTCTGCCGGTGCTGGTGGTCACCTCGAAGAAGAGAGGCTGTCCGGCGAGGTTCACATTGGATTGCCAATTCTGCCCCAGTTCCTTCCCTTGGGTATCCACCCTGTTTTGGATCCGTTTACTTTGGCTGCAACCACTTCACCGTCCGATCCTACGTTAGTGATGAGGACTTGACAGAAAGACGAAGTTCCGTACACCGTGAACCTCATCCCCCCGTTCTCTCACACTTAACCCTGCGCAATGCGGTTCAGATTCCAATTAATTGGTTTAAAAAATGCAGGATTTAATTGTTATAATCGAAAATAAATGGGCGAAGTAAATATAATTTCAAATTGAGAGGACATTGAACATAATTTTTACATCTATTGAGACGCACCAACAACCTTTTTCCTTTGGTGAACATTTACATTTATCCAGGGCAAAAAGAATAATTAATTTTGTTACCTCAGGTACTGGACTGGGACTATGTTAGCTCCTCTGTGAGCAATCTGGGCAAACGCGGCCTCTGACAATGAAAATGTGCTCGGGGAAAGTTGCACCAGCCGCCGTAGTCGGCCGGAAGCCCTTAATTCGGCGGACAGCGGACAGAAGTCGGTGGTGGTGAGAATCACTGACGGGCTCCTCATGAGACACCATTTGATGTGGTCGACGCACCTGACCTCGAAGCAGCCTCCGCACCTACTTCCTCTGTTGAACAACATGCTGCTCAGCCCCGCGCTGTACTCCCCGTAGCTGCTCCTGTGGAGGTCACCGTATCCACAAGCACCTTCTGCAACAGCAAACAACTGAGTTCTAATCTTAACGTACGATTGAATCCGTTTTCTGTTTCCTACCTTTTGCTTTCGGATTTCAAAAATCTAAAGGCCTGTTTGGTTTGGCCATTTCTGTTTTCATTTTCAGTAGAAACAGGAAATGGTGAAGAAAACATGTTTGGTAGGGTATTTTTTTATTTCATTTCAGAAAACATTTCTTAAATAGGTTGAAAACTGAAAGGAGTGAAAAGCAGTTTTCAGTGTTTTCTCTCAAAATTGGAAACACGATGGCAAACTCATAATTAAACCAATTTTCAGTGTTTTTTCTGTTTTGCTTATTCTCTTGTTATTGTTCATCCCTGTCCTTCGAATTGGTCTTGATTCCTCTTACCTTGCTTCAATGGCCAAAGAAAAACCCAGCAGGGTGAGCTATGGGTGGCTTGGGTTGGCAGGCGACAGAGAGAGAGGATTGGTAGTGACAGTGGTCGGTGCGATGGAGAAACAAGGGGCTTGGTTGACAAAGATGAAATTTGAAGAGTAACAAAAGTGGGAAGAAGATTTGGTGAGTAGAGGAGATTGACATGGAAGAAGTGCAGAGGGGAGCAAGGAGAATGAGGAATCGATTGGCGTAGGTAGTGGTGGCTACATGCGGACGAGAGAGAGAGAGAGCCAACTACGTCAAGTTGTGCTGGAAGTTCGGTTGCCATGGTAGTGGTTGACCATTGTAGTGGCTGTAGTGACAAATCGACAGAGCAATGGGCTCAATGGAACAATGGACGAATAGACAAAGCAATTGACGAATTGGCTAACCATTACTGAGGAGGGGAGAAAATGCAAAATGCAAAGTATTTGCACTTTGATCCCTTGTGTCTTAGACACTATTCAGATTGGTCCCTTAATTCTTCAAATTCAATTCAATCTCCAAAACTTTTAATTTATTCACTTAAATCTTACAAAAAATCTTAAAACTCTAAATTTATTCAATACAATCCCTATTTTCAATTTATTGAAAATAAGTTAACCAAACATATTTTCTTTATTTTCTTTTTTTGAAAATAGAAAATGATAAATTTAACCAAACATGTTTTCTAAATTTGAAAACTTTAAAATGAAAATATTTTCAAAAAATAGAAATAAAAATGAAAGAGAAAACATTTTTGTAAACCAAATAGGCCCTAAATGGTTTTGTATTGTACTTCTTTTCCATAAAATTTTTGAAAAATAAATTCTTGTTCTTTCTTCCTTTTTCTTGTAAACCAAACATACGGTGGTTTCTACTTCAAAGCAATTTTGGGAAACTATCTGCCAAATTAGTGTTAACAATTCTCAAAACCAAACTAAAAAGACTAATTAGCACCTTGCACCCTCCAAAATAGGAGGTTTTAGTATTTTTCATCTCAAAATTTTAAATTTAGCACTTTGCACCCAAAAAATATAGGAGTTTTAGTGCTTTATAATCCAAAAATTTTAATTTGACACTTTACATTTTCTAAAATAGAGGTTTTGACATTTTGTACCTAAAATTTTAAATTTGGCCACAAAACTTTCCAAAATTACAAAAGTACACTTTATCTTTGATTACTCATTAAACTAAGGATAAATTTATGATTTCATATAAATAAAGAGTAAAAAGATCATATAAGACTTGAATCCTATATTTTTTGTTATTTCTACTCTATTTAATAAATTTTTACTCAATTTATATACATATTAATGGCATGTAAAAGATTAAAAAATTTGGTACTGTTAAAAATTTTTAAATTAAAAATAAAGTTTGATAAGAAGTATAAAAAAATATTTGAACTTGTTATTTTAGTTCTTAATTTGTCTAGATATTTTATACAAAAACAATTATTTGAAGTAACTATTGTAATTTTTAATTTATCTAATATTTTATACATAATAATTATTAGTTCTTACTTTATAACATATTAAAACTTTTAGTTTTTAAATTAAGAACTAAAATAGTCACTTCAAATATTTTTTATATTTTTTTTATCAAAACTTTATTTTTAGTTTTAAAATTTTGAATATGTAAAAAATTTACAATTCTTATGCATTTGAAGAAGTTAGTTTACTTGATTAAATTTTTTAATCGAAAACATTAATTTTGAAGTAATTATTGTAGTTCTTAATTTATTTAGTATTTTATATAGAAATAATTATTAGTTCTTAATTTGTAACAAATTAAGATTTTTAATTTCTAAATTAAGATCTAAAATAGCCACTTCAAATATTTTTTATACTTTTTATCATAATTTTATTTTTAGTTTTAAAAATTTTAAACTTTTGAACAGTATCAAATTTTTTAATATTTTATATCTCGTTAATGTATATATAAATTTGAGTGGAAATTTATTAAATAAGTAGAAATAACAAAATAATGAAAGGTTCAAGAAATTTATAGTGTTTTTTATTCTTTATTTATATAAAATTCTAAATTTACCTTTAGTTTTAACAAGTAATCAAATATATAGTGCACTTTTTATAATTTTGGGAGATTTTGAAGGTAAATTAAATTTTGAAATACAAAATATTAAAAACCTCTATTACGAAGTGCAAAATGTCAAATTAAAAATTTTGAAATGCGAAGTACTAAAAATCTTTATTTTTAGGATACAAATTACTAAATTCAAAATTTTAAAACACAAAAGACAAAAATTCTTTTTTTAGAGACGTAAAATGCAAATTAATCAACTAAAAAAAGGGCCCATCTGGCTTTGGTTTCAATGCTGACTTTCCCACTAAAACCCCACAGCTTTAGATGAACTCTAGATTAATGTTTGATACAAGAAAAAGCAAAATCAGAAAACCCAAAAAACCCTGTTTTACAATCAGTTCAATTTAAATTTTTTTTTACAGGAAATGTAAATTTTTTTCTACAAACAAATACCAACCACGTACAGAATCATAATATCAGATGGATGGGAAGGATAAATACCCGTGACAATTGAGCCATTTGTTTGATTGGAGTAAGTTGCCAGTGGCTGGCTTCCATTGATCGCCATCTAGCTCAGCCACGGCGGCGTCGCTTCCCTCTATTATAACCAATAGGATCACCGTGAGCTGCAGCGTACCCATTCCAGGCATGAAGCTAAGAGCGGCGGAGTCTTATTTTCTTCTAAATTTTACTGCCATTGGGGCGGGAATTTGGGTAAAAATGGATGCAATTTTTGAGAAGGAAGTCGAAGGCTGAGTCAAAAAGAAACGTGTGGCTGCTCAATTTGTCTCCATTGCAAAGACACGTGGTGCATTTTGAGACTTTTGAGGCGCGACAGAGATGTCAATGTGGAAGCTGACAGCAGAATACGGGGCGGGGGATTATCCTCCGCAGGATAAAATATACATTCAACTGGATCGGCTTGGGGCTGGTTTGGCCCCATTCCAACATTTATCTTTTTAATTAATCTTTAACGATTTCTTTTATCTTGATTAATCTAACTTTTTAAATTCTGAAATTCCAATTTTAATTTAATTGTTAGAAAAAATATTCTTCTCTTTCTATTTTGAAAAATAGCTGTGGGAGCCTGCTAGATGGACACGTGTGGATGCTTTATGTTCACCTTATGCCTCATAATATTTGTGTAATAAAAATGTTAATTTCTGTTAGTTGTTTCAAGTGTCACTTTAATTTCCATCGTTGTCAGTGGTTTAATATTTTTTTAATTTTGTATATTATAAAAAATTAATACAAAATTCGTGTGTGGATCAGTGGAACACCTTGCATCGTCTCTACATATGACTTCTATTTTTACCTTAAAATTTTAGTAACTAAAATGCTAAATTAAATAAATTAGATCAGTTAATAACTTATAAAATACTTAATTTTTGCCCAAAAAAAAACTTGTAAGACTTAAAAATTAATATTTTACCAACAAGAAACTCCAAAAACTCCCACTTCCAATTAAAAAGTATTCTGGAAATGGACTGCCAACCAGTATAAATTCTTACGTTTGTAAAGTAGGCTAAATTAGATTAGAAAATGGAAAAACGTTTTCTTTGTTTATCCAAATTTAAAAACTAATAGAAATTGGCATTCTTTAATCTTTATCATACCCCAAATTTATCTGGAACCAAACAGACCATAAAAAGGTGGGAAAAAAATTAACGAGGAGAGAATGGCCGCACCAAACAAGACCCGTGGAATGTAAACATATTCTTGGAAGGAAGTCAATTCATTT